TTGGGAATGGAGTTGCTCCTGACCTTTAGCTTCACTTTTTTCACCTTTTCTTCCAAGCTTAATGTCTAAAAAAGTCAGAGTTCAGCACATGCCTGAGTCATGGTTTGGACAGCACCACCTCCCCCAAGGTACAACAATAACTCCTCCGTTTCCAATAAAGCCTGTTGAGATAACACCTTGAAATGGACTTTAATGAGACAAATGAAACCTCTTTGGGTTGTATTTTACCTCAGTTTAAAATAAAATTGTTCCCCAATAACTTACTGAGCTGACCCTCCGCAAACTGAAATAAGTGCAGTTCATGATCTTTATAACAACAAGGTATAAAATTCAGTCTGGCTTAAAATTCATTTGAACAGCATGACCCTGTGTTAATAACAGGCTGTGAAACCAATGTTTTGGGACTCTCAGCAGGAAAATGACTTATTTATAAAGCACCTTTTCTCTCTTAACTGCCACTGAATCACAGGTAATTAAAGCACAAGAAATGAAGGATGGGATTTAAGAGCCAGAGTCCCTCCCTAGATGTGCTGCCTGAACACTCCCTTACTCAGGAAAAAGTCCCACTGGTCACGGAGTTACAGAATCATTTAGGTTGGAAAAGACCTCTAAGATCCAGTCCAGCCTCATGAAAGGTCAAAATTTAATTAACTCTGTAAATACAGCAGGAAACAACCCACAATCACTGCAAAAAGCATAGTACTGGCTTATGTTTTGAAACACTCCCTGAAAACTTTTTTTCTTTACCAAATGCACTCAGTTTTTTTTCATTAGGGCATATAAATGAATAAACAAATGCTCCATAAATAAATATATACCGCTGAACATCCTGGGAGCACTGCAGCTCTACCGAGTCCTAACTACCAGTAAAAAGGGAATTTTGATGTCTTATCTAGACATGCTTGTTATCATTGATCCTGCCAGTGCCAGAGCAGCACAGTCAGTGATCTTAAAATGAAGGAAAAAAGCCCACACAGAACCCGAAGCGTTTTTCAGCTCTATTTGAAAAAGATGCAGACGACGACGTTTTTTTCCTCTACCTGGCGAGGGATTGTATTTCAGCTATTTGATCTGGGGAAAGAATTCATCTGTCTGAAAATACAGGAGCCAAGCAAGCTTGTTATACAAGCAAAGGTTGTTTTCTGCAGTGATTTCGAGAGCAAACTTTCCCCGCCAAACGCTGATGACAAACAAGCTCCGTGCTTTGACATCTGCAGCAGGAGCTGAGCTTGCTAAATTGAATCCCCTTCTGCCTCCTCCAAACTGCCTTGATAGTCGAGCAAATGGGGAAAAGAGGCTCTTCTCTGACTGTTTCAAAGCCTTCCTGAAGAGAATCATAACTGACAGGAGCTGCAGTTTGTGAGTTAAAGAGGAAAAGCGGGAGCGGGGAATTAACGAGCTGGATTCGGGAGGCGAGTGCGTGTCTGTACAGATGGCACAGACCCATTCCCAGCTTTCCCAGCCTTCCCTCTTTGCTACATGAGAAAATAAACGAAATTAGGAGCCACACTGCTCAGCTCCAGCAGCCTTGGAGGGGACAGGTGGTGGAGAAGTGAGGATGTCATGAAGAGGTCGCAGGTGAAGGAGCTCCCCCGCAGGAAGGACAGGCCGTGAGGTGTGATGCCATCTGCTCACTGCCACCACACAGGGAGGGTTGTTGTTGTTGTCTAAGTGGCTTGGGTTGGGTTTTTTCCCCTCCAAGGACTGCTCAGGGAGGTGGTGGAGTCCCCATCCTTGCTCACTGAACGTGGCTCTTGGTGCTCTGCTGCAGTTGAAAAGGCGGACGTTGGCCAAAGGTTGGACTCAACAACCTCAAAGACTTTTCCAACCCAAACTATTCTGTAATTTCCTAACTTAGCTTTTGCCACTTTTCAGCTTTCAGGCTCAAATGTGCTCCCTGTTTCCTTGCTGAAGAGTTTCAGGACTCCAGGACTGCAGCAGTGTGGGTTCCATGAAATATTTTCCTTTTATTCCCTTATGAGAGACCCCACACTGTCCCTGTGCTTTCTTTGTCAGCCTCGCCTGGGAGTTTGGAGCTGCACTGCTATTATTTCCCCTTAGCCAGTTCTGTTAGGGCTTTGACTCATCATTTTTGTCAATCAGAAAGGATTGTGAAGGATTTCCTCCCCAGCTGGGGCAGGATCTGGAGCCCAGAAATCAGCCAAAGCCAGCTGGGTCGTGGCAACAACCACTTCATGCACATGGGAGTGAATCCCCTCAACTTGATTTTCAATTATTGGAAAAAATTGGTTTAAATACCAAACTGTGCTAAGGAGACAAGAAGCCTGAGACTGTATAAAAGGATCTGCTATTTTATCCCTTTGGTATTGCTCAGAGCTGCTGTTTAAGCTGATATTTGCTTTTCAATCACATCAGGTCACCCTAGGATATGTGGTGTCCTACAGTCCTCAATCTGCCAGTGCTTTTAGGGATGCTGGGAGGGATGTTTGGAGGGATGCTCAGAGGGAAAATCTTGTTTTTCAAGAGAAGGAATGATTCCTAATAGTTCTGGACCTCCAGACACCATTTAGGGGGAATGTAAAAAAATGTAAATTAATATTATAATAATATTATAATAATATTATAATACATATATAATATGTAACACAATATATATAATAATATAATAATATAATATATTATAATACGATAATATTATTATAATATTATGATAATATAATATAATAATATAAATTATTCCAAAATATGACTAATTTCAAGTGTGTGGGCAAAGTTTCAAAGGCAATTTTTTAAGGTGCTGTTAAAATTGGCCAGGAAAACTAGACTTTAGTAATTATTCTGCTAATATTATTGACTTCCAGTTAAATAGCTCTAACTAGACAAAAATCACTTGAAAATTCGTTGTCAAGTTCTGCTTTTCTGCCCAGGAGGAGGTTGTGCTTAATCACCACCTGCAATATTAAAACAGATTTTTAAACTAAAAGAATCCAAACACCGGGCAATCATCTGCAATATCCGTGGTTTTGGCTACATCATATATGAATTAAGAAGAAAAAGGGATGCATTTAGAATTCAAATTAGTTGTTTGTAAAGAAGTGGCACTCGGAGCAAGCAAATTGAGCCACATTTTCACTCAAATGGCTTTCAGTGTTTTAGTTGGACAATGTTTGCTTTGCAGGTTGATATTCATTTTCTCCAAAATAAATTTAATTGTTCCAAAAATTGAAAGCAAAATCAGAGACTGAAAGCATCTCTCAACATCTTCATCCTGAGCACCACCAGAGGCACTGCAGGGCTGAGGGACCTGCCCAGCTGGGGTGTGGTGGGACATCCTGGAGACATCCCAAAGAATCCACCCACCTTCTATCCCTGCTTCTGCTGACCTGATTATTCCATGTCTTTCCTTCCGTTTAACTGCGTTTCTATCACAAATATTCACCCCCCACCATCCCTGTTTTATTCCTTTCAATCCCTCCCACAGTCATTCATTGCTCACCTTTCAGCTCTTCCTGCCCACTTGCATCACTTCCCAAAATCTTTCCATCCACCAAACCATTAAAATAACCTATTAAAATGTTTAAATAATATTATAACTTTCAATTCCAACCAGCTTTGCCATATTTTGCTGTCCCTTTCCCCTTTGTTGAATAAAATCACTGCCTTCTAGGTGTGCATCCCACCCTCCACCGGCACCAGCTCCTCCAACAGAGCCCCAAACATGGATTTCTCTTCCCTGTTCCACAAGCACTGGAAGGAGCAGCCGCCTCATATCAATGAGAAATCTCCACTTGCACCTTAGAATGTCAATTATTCAATATTTTAGTATTCAGTCTTAAGCTCTGCCAAAAGAGTTACTTCCAGAAGTGACAGAATTTGGCTTTTCCCCAGCTCCACAAGAGGCAAACACTAAGGACCACTTTCTGCTGATGCTGTTTGAAGGACTCTGAGCAGAACTGAAAAGCCCACATGGCCAAAAGGATTTCAGAAACTTTGAAGGAACACTGCCAAGTCACGCCTAAGCATTGGGGTGAAGATAATAAAAGCAAAACAATCCAAAAAATATAAATCTGTGCTAAAAATAATACAGTCCTGTTCCCTATATATGCATGTTTATTATTATTCATATGTTTATTTTAATTCTAGTTTTAGCAGTAGCACAACTTTTGCTCCTCAAACACTCTATTGGAATGGATGACCCTAACCATGAGTTGCTTGGAATCAGGTAGTTGCCCTTATCCCAAGGCAGGGATTTAATATAATCTGGGGGGGGGGTGTTATATTTTATTGGAACAGCCAAGGAGAGTTTATGTGCTCAGTTAACACCTCACAGGAATTTCCAGTGAGGACTTTCAGCTTTCTGAGCCAGTCAGCTCCTGCCTGTGAGAGTGGAGTTGATTTACCCTGAATGGGGAAAAAGCAAACTCAGATCAGCTGCAAATGAAACCGTTTCTGAAAGTGCCGTTCAGGGCCTTTTAGGCTCCATCTCTTGTTCTTTCCTTGTTTCCTGCAGAGAGGTGTAATATTCCTCCTTTCCAGCTCCACACAGCTCTGTTATTGGGAAAACACCTTCTCAAGGTATTGTAATAAGAACCTCTAGATTGATAATAAATATAAAATATTCATATGGGCATTTGGCAGTGGAGTTGAACGGGGTCTGTGGTGGGACCAGACCTTGGTGTTGTGTTGGGGAGGAGCAATGATTGACACCACAATTGACAACACCTCGTCTGTGGAGACATGGACAGAGCTGGGATTATTCAGCCTGGAGAAGAGAAGGCTCCAGGGAGACCTGAGAGCCCCTTCCAGAGCCTAAAGGGGCTCCAGGAGAGCTGGAGAGGGACTGGGGACAAGGGATGGAGGGACAGGACACAGAGAATGGCTTCCCACTGCCAGAGGGCAGGGCTAGATGGGATATTGGGAAGGAATTGTTGGCTGGGAGGGTGGGGAGGCCCTGGCACAGGTTGTCCAGAGAAGCTGTGGCTGCCCCTGGATCCCTGGAAGTGTCCAAGGCCAGGTTGGAGCAACCTGAGATAGTGGAAGGTGTCCCTGCCCATGGCAGGGGATGGAATGAGATGGTCTTGAAGGTCCCTTCCAACTCAAACCATTGTAGATTCTATAGATCTGTTTTCCACTCACTTAGCAACACCAGGGGTTTATTTTTCTCCTTTTGCTCTGCTTTTAATAGTTTTTAACAATTCAGTTCTTTAAGAGATACTGGAGGTTGGTCAGAGAAAAAATGATCCTGTTTTTTTCCCTCTTATTTTTTTAGGGAGGAAAGCTGAGAGGGGAGCTGCTTCTGGTGCTTTCAGAATCTAGTTGAGACAATAAAACTTGCAAAACTGCAGCAACCTCACTCCCTCATGGAAAGCTGTTTGTACCACGATTGCTCCTCACCTTCCCCAGAGGGTACACAGATCAAAACGAACACAAAACCCCAGGAAAATAAATCAGAAACAATCAAAAAGCAGAAAGTGGAAATGCAGGTTCTAGGGGTCGGTTGGGCACTGGTACAAACTGCACCTCACTGATTTGGGAAGCCACTGCTTGGCCACCTTAGGGGACAGCAGAGGCAGGAGCTTCACCCATTCCATATCCCTGTGGAAGCAGAGCCAGGAGACAACCAGCTCCTTGATTTATCTGAAGTCTTCCCAGCCTTGTATTCTGCCAAAGGCAATCAAGCAGGAGCAGGAGGATTGATGGCTCTGCACAGCAAAGCCTCTCCTTGGCACTTGTCAGCATCCCCCCCTCCCACCACCCCTCCTGTCACCCCAGTGCCAGTTCCCTGCCTCTCCCTGCACCAGAATTCCCATGAAACGCTGGGAGATCTTCACTGGAGTCACCTCCAGAGGGGATGAGAAGTCTCAGGGGCTGCATTTGGAGAGGTACTTTGGTCAGCTGTGCTCACTGAAAGGAAATCCCTGGAAAAGCAGCACCTCTGTGACCAGGAACCTTCACAACACACAAAGATTTGCCACTAAAAAGTCCTCATTTATCCCAGGCTCCCAAAGGTGGTGCTGCAGTGAATATCAGAGGTATAATGTGTCTCTAATATAACAAATTCACTGTCATCCTCCTTTGACTGCAGCATTAATTCCAAAAAAATATAATCAATTCCCTCTTCCATTTTTTAAGAAACTCAGGGTTTCTCTGCGTGGAACAGAAGGAGACTGCAGAATCTCAAACTCCGTTTGCATCAGCTGTAGGAATTCTGATTTTCCCTGGCAAATGCTGAATTCTTGGAGGCATCTTTTATTTTAGGAACTGGAAGCATCTCTCAGACGTTAATTCAGGAGAATTACCCTGAGAAAAGCAACACTGGCCCTTTTTTGAGGTGAGCCCTGGACACATTAAGTGCTTTGCTCGAGGCCAGGAGTGAGTCACTGGGAGAACCATCACCCACAGCACATCTCTCATGCTGCTGCCACCACCAGCTCTCAAAAAGAAAGGGAATAATTAATGGGAGCCTCAGAATTTATATTCAGAATTTCGAGAGTTCGTGGTCTGAGCCCATTAGAATATATAAGATCCCTCCAGCCATAATTTATATGGATATTGTTCACTACACATTCTCACATGGCTACTTTTTTCTGTTGGGAAAGTCTCCAAAGACTTCCACAAATATATTCTTTTTAATGCCAAAATAACTCCAGATTACACTAAAAGACAGTGGTGCTGAATTAGCTCAAAAACAAACCTAATGCCTTGAAAAATCCACTAAACCCCAAGTCTTCAGGACTTCCAGAGGCCAGGAGGTGCCACATCAGCCACTTCACATCCCTAAAAAAGCTGAAATTACTCACCAATGTGAACAAGGGTCATGACTTTTCTGGAGCCCTCAGCACGACTGGATTTGTTTTTCACTCTCCAAAATGAAAATTTTCAATGTACAGTTGTCATCTGCAGGGGATGTTTATGGATCAGTTACTAATAGTGTATGTTCTCCTTTCAGCTCTAAAAAAAGGAAATTGTTGGTTATGATTCATTGGTCAGACCAATGCAAATGCTGCCCTTTAAACACAGTGTGATTAATGTAACGGTTCACTTCGAAAATAAACAAATATTCAGTTCCAGAGGAATTTCCTGTCGTTTTTATAACACTTGCAGCAATATATAAACAAGTCAGAAGTATCTCAGAAACATTTTCAGCAATAATTGCCATATGTCACTATTAAAAATTATCCTAATTCTTGCTCAATTGCAATAATATGAAATATTTTAACAGGAATAACACTAGAATGTCTGTCTGGTTGGTTCCCAGCCTCTGCATGTTGGGATTTTGAAAGGTTTTTAAATTATTTTAGAAAGGGTAGGCTAAAATATGGAAATAAGTCCAAGGCACATAAAGCAGCTCCATTAATTTTCCTGAGTTGCTGAATTGGAGGATTTTGAATAGAATTTGGTTGTAGGGGGAAAAGAAAAAAAGCAGCATCGCCCAAATCCATCAATCTTCACACACAGGACAAAATCACTCTGTTGTACCACCTCATATTCATCATCTGTGTGGGGACAAGCAACTCATCACTCTCCTTGTTCAGGTACAAAATAATACCTGGACTCCTGAGCGTGGTTTTGGGACATTTTGTAACGTTCCCAGGACAAGGATGGCAATTTTTTACATGGAAATGGAGTGTTAGAGACACTTGGAATGCACAATTAGCCAGGGCACTCTGTAATTTGGCTGCCAGCAGGAAGGAGGAGATCCCTTCTCCCAACACTGGGCCCCTCAGGATGCTACCTGTGACGCTCTGGAAACGTCCCACAGTGCTGGTGCTGCAGGTGCTTGATGTGATAAACATTCTTTTGTCCTCACAACCCACCTGCAGCTCCAGTTTGGGTTTGATAATGGGCTTAATTTTCCAAAGGTGGCTCCACTAAACCAAACCCACCTCTAAAACTGCCTGGGGATGCCCAACCACTCCTATCCCTGCAAACCCCCTGGAACAGTCTCTCTGTTGGGACAGGGAACAGTTGGCTGAGCTTGCAGCCATTCCATCAGTAACTCCAAATGCCACAGGCAGTTCTTGGATGCCAGACCTGCAGGAGACACCACAGACACCTCAATAAAGTCACAACACACACCAGCCACCTCCTTTTTGCTGAGACCTCAAGTGCTGTAGGTGATGTCCTAACACTGATGGACATAACACTCGGCTCACTCACTCCTTCACCATGGAAAACACCAAAAAAGCAAAAAAAAGGCTGGAGGTGCTGGGTCTACTTCTGCAGTTGGAGGAATCACTGCAGGAAAATTTAGACTGGCAAGATGCCATGAGCCCACAGTCACAGCTCTGGACAGAGGTCCAAGGAGAGGCCAAATAACATGTTTTCCAAGCCAGGGAGATTCAGAGTGAACACATCAATCTTTAATGCTGGAGCACAGGGTAACATCTTTGATTTATCAGCTTGGGCCATTGCTTTTCATTTAAGGGGAGTTCAATTTAATCTTTTGAAGTGCAGGAAAAGGTACAGCAGCAGCCTAAAAAAATAAAAAACTCTATGTGGTTTGACACCTCAGCACATGATAGGATACAGAGAAACCTGCCTGCCCTTGCTGCACATCTCTTTCTGGAATATCTGAGGAAGAAAGGACAGAGCAGAAAACTGTCAAGACCCTGAACTTGTCTCAGTGCTGGAGGTCAGTGTTGTCACATTCATCCAAACCCAAACTGAGCATCCTGCTCTCCCCAGTGACCTCAGCATATGGCTTTGCTCAGGGAAGTCCCACTGCCTGAACATGAGGTTGCATTAATATTTCAAATCACAGTTAAGTTCTAGTCCTTCAAGAGAGTTTCCACTCACTTCTCTCTGTGTACTTGGAAAACTAGCACTAAACTGCTTTCTTACCCAGGCACAGGTGGAAATCACACTCACAGGATGTGCTGAGCTGGGAGGGACCCACAAGGATCATCCAGTCCAACCCTCAGCCCTGTACAGGCCCAACCCCAGAGTCACACCCTGTGCCCCAGAGGATCAGCCAAACCCTCCTGGAGCTCTGGCAGCCTTGGGGCTGTGTCCACTGCCCTGGGGAGCCTGGGCAGTGCCCAACCACCCTCTGGGGGAAGAACCTTTTCCTGAGATCCGACCTGAGCCTGCCCTGGCACATTCCCTGGGTGCTGTCCCTTGTCCCCCCAGAGTAGAGCTCAGTCCCTGCCCCTCCTCTGCCCCTGCCCAGGAAGCTGGAACTGCAGTGAGGTCTCCCCTCAGTCTCCTCTTCTCCAGCTGAACACACCAAATGCCCTCACACGGCACTCACACACTCACACAGTGTCCTCACACGGCTTCAAATCAAGGCCCTTCCCCATCCTGGTTTCCCTCCTTTGGGTGCTCTCTAATGGCTTCAGATCCTTCTTATAAATATGTCCCTCTGTGTTCTGCAGCTGCAAACATGTTTTGACCTCTTCCACCCATCACCTGGTCCATCTCTGCCCACAGTTCTGCAGTTCAGACCCACAGGACCTACCAGCCCCTCACTGTGCTGAGGGGTCTCAGTTGGAACGATGAACGACGCCAAGAAATGTTTTGGGGAGGAGATCAAACACCATGAGACAGGAAAAGAGGAAACGGCCTCAAGCTGCACCAGGAGAGGGTCAGGTTGGACACCAGGAGGTTCAGGTTGGACACCAGGAGGAATTTCTCCCTGGAAAGGGTTGTTAAACATTGGAAGGGGCTGCCCAGGGAGGTGATGGACTCCTCACCCCTGGAGGTGTCCAAGGAAGGAGTGGACGTGGCACTCAGTGCTCTGGGCTGGGGGACAAGGTGGGCATTGGGCACAGGTTGGACTGAATGACCTTGGAGGTCTTTTCAGTTAAAAAATTAAACCAGCTGAATTTCCTAATGTAAATTATCCACCCTTTACCAGTCACCTGAGCCCATTGCCTCCTTTCAACTCTTTTACCAGCACTATAACACAGCAGGGGAATAAAACACATGAGGAGACACCAAATCAGGCCTCCAGTTGTCCCCAGCAATTATAGAAACTGCCCATTTCCTTAAATTTAAAACTTCACAGCATTCTCTGAAGATCTGACCAATTTATATGATCGATTCATAGAGCACAAGCTAGAAATATGTATGTGGATGATCCCCATCTCCTAGTGCAGGCAGCTTTCCAAAAAACCTTTGCTATGAATTTCAACTAATTAAGTCATTTCCAAGGTACAATATTGCCTGGAAGAAGAAGTTAATGAAATGAGTATATGATCCTTTAGCTAAACTCCACAGTTTAGAAAAGAATTTTAACCTGTCATCAGGTCAGTCTGAAATTATTCATGTTTAAGGCTAAAATAATTCTGAATTAGCCTTAAGTTAATGATATGGGGGATAAAGGCTTTTGTATATCTTTTTGAGCATAAGAAGGAAATCCTAGAAAAACTGCTGTGGAATTTTCAGCTTAAGTTTTTTTGTGATGGCATTTCCTAGAGGAAAGACAAACCATCCAAACCCTGTCTTTGATCTGCTAAATTTCATATAGAAATCTGTCATTAAACAGTCACAAAAATTAATCTCTGTTGCATCCAGAGTGATTTATGCCATGTAGGCTTATGAGATGGGTATCTTGACACTATATACAATGCAGCAAAGTCAATTTGATCAACTAGATTTGTCATTCAGCAATTCTGATCAATTCTGAAGGTACTTTGTCCTCAACAGTCCATTTTCATCTGAACTATTTCTTATAATCCACAGCTTTGTGCTTCCAGCAGCTGCACAAGAACAAAGCCCTGCTCAAGAAACATTTCCTTGCAGGACATGTAATTATTAAATTGGATTCTAATTACAGATCATAAATTACAGACACTTCTTTAGAGAGAAAATACCCAGAATGCTACAGAGAAATTCAATGCCTATTTTTGAAGTTAATCTAAGACCATTTTGGCTAGGGAAAAAAAAAAAAAAAAAAAAGGAGCAATTCTAGGATCAAATCATGAGTCCTGTATGAATTCCATGTGATTGTGTTAAGATGCTGTTTGACATTAGTGTACACAAATATTACTTCCTATTAAAATATATAGAAACATATGTCACTTGTGTGTGGCCTCAGCAGCCAGAGCTGTGCAGTTGGCCTTTCCCAGAGGAAGAGGAATGAAAGGTGCCTCTGGATATGTTCTTTCTATAGAAGGACAGACATCAGTGTGCAGCCAAAGCCCTCCAGGAAAGCCTCAGCTCTAACACCAGCTCCCAAAAATCAACTGTGAGCCAAGGAAAGATTAAAGAGATTAAAGCAACCAGCAGATCTTGGTGCTGGTTCCAGCTGAACCCACACCACGGGAGCAGTGCCCTGGCAGCAGCCAACACTGGGTGCTGAGGCAACAGGCACAGAAATGCAAAGCCACAGTGTTGTGGTTGAGCAGGATCAAGGCTGGTGGCTCAGAACCAGAGGGAAGAGGGAATGGGGCCTGTGGAAACCTGGGTTTTGGCTCCAGACACCTTGGGAAGGAGCCCAGGGCTTTACCAGGGCTGATTGTGCCAAAGGCATGAACAGGTGGCAACCCACAAAGCCACACCCACAGGTGGCCACCACAAATCCACATGTGGCCACCAGAAACCCACACACGGTCACCACAAATACACAAGTGGTCACCACAAACCCACACGTGGCCATCACAAACCCACACCCACAGGTGGCCACCACAAACCCACACATGGTCACCACAAACCTCCACATAGCCACCACAAACCCACACGTGGTCACCACAAACCCACACGTGGTCACCA